GACTCTCAGGAGACTAGATCTGATCGCCTCCAAAAGGCCTTCATTTCTAATATGAACAGAGATAAAGTGCTCTAAGGAGAAAATCACAACCGAAGCAAACAGAAGGAAACTAGAGAAGACAGAAGACGTGAGGAAGCAGAGGACAGTTTTAGTTTATACATCCACTTTTCATCTCAGAATAAAAAAATTAGTTGCAAGAACATAGCCAAGATTTCCCATATGGCCCTCATTCAGATTTTCCCAATGTTAACATTTCACATTTTGATACCAAAACTAGAAAATTAACACTGGGATAACACTGTTGAACCTACAGCCTTCCTTCAGATTTCGCCCACTGTTCCTTTAATGTCATTTTCTGATCTGAGACTACACTTGCTCTTACGTGACCCACTCCCTTGTCTCCTCCAATGGCCCGTTTCAGAAAACAAGTACAAAGTACGAAATGTTCATCATTTTCATACTTCTAATGCAATTAATTTGATCCATGAGTACTGTGGTTCTTTCTTCTCACATTCCTTCCCTGCGAAATTACTATCCTTTCCTCTGTAGTAAGTATCTATGGCATGAAATTTTGAGATTATATCCGTTACTGTCACCCACAAACTTTTAGGTGCCATGATGAGTCTTATCTCAAGCTATGATTATTGTGTTTCTCTTTGAAAATTAAAATGTATGCCTAAGGTTTGGGGAGGGACTGACAAACATTGGCCTCAAGGCCAAATTTAGCTGCTGTCCATTTTGGTAAATAAACATTTGTAGATTCACTTGTGCATCATCGATAGCTGACACCACACTGCAGTGGCAGAGCTTACTAGCTGCAACAAACACCGTATGGCCCATGGAGCCTAAACTATTATCTGGACAATTATAGAAAAATCTTGCCAACCCCTACTTTAGAAAAATAACTGAACTTTAAAATCAGGTACAGAGGCTTTGGTGGGGAGGTGAGGGAAGAAGGCAGGATATGGTGGTATGTGCCTATAAACCTCATTTCTCAAGAGGTAGAAAATAGAGGATTACAGTCTGAAGACAGCCTGGGCAAAAGTTACCAAAACCCTATCTCAAAACAAAAGCCAGGCCTGGTGGTGCACATTTATTGTCCTTGCTACTCACAAGACAAAGGTGGGATGATTGAGAACCAAGGCCAGCCCCAAGCATACCCTGAGACCCATTCTGAAAAAGAATTTAAGTAAAAAGGTTGAGTGTGGCTCGTGGTAGCATGGTTGCCTAGCAAGTGTGATGCTCTGACTTCAAACCCAGTACTGAAAAACCAAAAAGATTTATTAAGAAAGAATGAGCCAGGGCAAAGAAACACATGAGGAAATGTTCACCATCCCTGGTTGTGAAGGAAATGCAAATAAAGACAACCCTGAGATACCACCTTACCCCAGTCAGAATGTCCCACATTCTCAAGTCAGCCAACAACAAATGCTGGAGGGGATGCAGAGAAAGAGGAACCCTATTAACACTGCTGGTGTGAATGTACACTTACATAACCACTTTGGAAAGCAATCTGGAGGGTACTCAGAAAGCTAAATATTGACCTCCCTTATGACCCAGTCATACCACTTCTAGGCATCTATCCTGAACAACAGGAACCAGTATACAAGGATACATGCACCTCCATGTTTATTGTAGCACTGTTCACAATTGCCAGGATATGCAAACAACCCAGATGTCCCACCACAGGTGAATGGATCCAAAAATTGTGGTATCTATACACAATGGAATATTATGCAGCCATTAGAAATGACAAAATAATGGCATTTGCAGGGAAATGGATGGAGCTAGAAGAAATTATGTCAAGCGAGGTAAGCCAAGAGCAAAGAGACAAACGGTACATGGTCTCCCTGATAAGTGGAGGTTAAATCCAAAATGTTAGGTGATAAAACAAAATTAACAGGACTTAAGAAACAAAGGACTTCCACTCATCTGGTCCAATCACTACTAAATAACCCCATGCTGCTGACCACAAGTATGGTATATATGTGCACATGGGAGGGGAACCAGGAAGATGACACAGAACTAGAGGGAATCAGGGAAAAACATATAACAGCGGGACCCATCAGCTGCACTGGACATTGACCAAAATGAACTAAGCAACTCAATGGCAGCGATGGGAGGGAGGGAACAAGTGGGAAAGAGTAAACAGCTGACACTATGCAAAACAAAAGAAATGTACATATCACCCAATGTGGAAGAAATAACTATCACAAAGCTCATAGAACTTACAAATATTATAGACCGTGATAGAAAATTTGCTCCAGGAAAGTTTAGAATGTGTTTGTGACTTTAACTGAGCCTTACTATCCCACAATACTGTAAAATTTGGGAAATTATGTAACCATTTAATCACAATAAAAAATTTGAAAAAAAAAAATGAGCCAGGCGTCAATGGTTCGTGCTTGTAATCCTAGCTACACAGGAGGCTGAGATCTAAGGATTGCCGTTCAAAGCCAGCCCGGACAGGAAGGTCCATGAGACTCTTATCTCCAATAAACCACCAGAAAACCAGAAGTGGCACTGTGGCTCAAGTGTACAGCATTCACATTGAGCTGAAGAGCTTAGGGACAGTGCCCAGGCCCAGAGTTCAAGCCCCACAACCAATAACAACAAACAAAAATGATAGTTTGTTAATAAAAGTTATAGGAAGAGACAACAGTAAAATCACAGCTAGATTTAGGAACTTTTTAAATCTAGATTTAAGAAAAATGCCCCATAATCAAAGCAAAGATTCATTCAAAAGCATATAATCTTAAAATTTCAGAATACCAGGAGAAAAAGTCTTTTAGTTTCCGGAGAGAGCTGAGAAAGAAAGCAGATTGCATACTGGAAGTGGGAGGGGAGCAAAGTGGTATTATATACACTAATCATAATACTAGGATGACAGCTGCCAAAGAAAAATTCTTCAAGGTCCCTAGAGAAGATACTTTTTTTTTCCTGCTACAATTCGGCACCCAGATAAACTCTCCATCAGATATTTCCAGAAACCCATTATGGGCGCGATGCAGCTCCCGTGACAATCATTCTTAGAAAGCCCTGAATGAATGTGTGCCACCAAAAGGGGCATAAACCAAGAAAGAAGAAGACACGGATTCCACAAGCAGGGTACACACAGGAAACTCCAAGATGACCACCATCTGGCAAGGCTGGAGGACAAGCAGTGGGAGGCAGGCCAGGGGCAGGGAGGGAAAAAAAGTGTGTAAGAATTCATGGTCACTGATACAGTATTTAGAACATGGAGGCCAACAGCGGGAAGCACGTGAAGAACCCGCTAGCTCAGGCACACGGAAGGGCCTGTGCGTGAAGAACCCGCTAGCTCAGGCACACGGAAGGGCCTGTGCAGGCACAAGTGTCCTATCACGCCACTCATTCCTACTCGTGGGGCTTCTTCTGGTATTGCTGGACAATGTGCCCCAGTGAGCTCTGTCATCTTCACATGTGGTCTTGGGGTCTTCAGGATCAGTCCTCTGACACTGCCTCTCCTCTCAGTGGCGTCATCTGTCCGCTCACTGACTCCTGGTCTTCGTACCTCTAGTCACTGCTAAGACGAAGGCTCTTCACACTTGCATTCAAAGGGGTAGGCACTCTGCTCTGCATCTCCCCTTCGGTGAGGCCATGAAATGATGCTGGCAGTGCCCTCCAAGTCTAATATGGATTTCATACTGCTCTCTCCTCAAAACCTTTAGCAAGATGCCAAGGACAGTGGGATGGAGGATGGTGCTGTAGAAGGAATCCTGTTCACTTTCACAGTATTTGGGTGAGAACCTACTATATGTTCTGGTCCTTTATTGCTATCTTCAAGCCTTTTCTTCTATATTCTCACACACTATCTATCTATCATGCCCACACCTCACAAGGGAAAGAACTGTTGGATAACTTCACTGGAGAAGTACGAAAGAAAGGAAGGGGAAAATTTAATTCTGATTTCCTGAATAGTAAAAAAATAATATGGCAGGATACCAGAAACCATCCCTGAGGATAATTTTTAAAAGGGAGATAAAAATATAATCAAAGCACAATCACTACAAAATTAGAATAACATGTTTAGGTATGTCACCACTATTTGAACTCAAGTAATTCTCCTGAAATGCTTCTATCAGGAAGTGTTCAACAGACAACTCCCATCTCTACCTCTACTGGTGGAGGGGTAGGTGTCTTAATTGCACTGTAGAAGACTTTGCTCTTTTTAGTTGCAATAGTTTCTTCTGATGGTCTCAGCTACGTCTTTCCTCATCAATTTTGCCACAGGACTTTTTAACCTTGTTATTATATAGTCATATGTGGCTGCTGAATGCTGTGAGTATAACACTAATTCTAACAGCTACCATGAAGTTCTTATTTTGGTATATCCTTGCATTTGGGCTCCTTACTAATTAAGGAAAAGCAAAGCCTTATCCATATAGCTCATTGATGAGTATGCGCACGCACACACACACACACACACACACACACACACACACACACACACAGTAACCACATGCCTAGGTGAGCTCGCTTCTTGCAGGAGGGTCGCTACTGAGGCTGAGCTCAGGACCTCACCTGTGCTAAGCAGCGTTCTATCATTTAATCACACCCTCCATCATTTTTGCTTTTAAATAAGGTCTCACATTTTCTCCAAGCCAAGTTAGACCATAATCCTCCTATTTGCATGTTCCACATATCTAGAATGACAGGCAAAGACCACACCACCGTGTCTAACTGTTCATTGGCTGAGGTGGGGTTTTACAAACTTTTTTCAGGCTACCCTAAAACCTCCTCTGGATCTCAGCCTTACAAGTAAGCAGGATTACAGACATCAGCCACACACCCAGTTTTTCCTTTTCTCTTCTTTATACCAATAGCAAGAAAGAAGTAAATAACTTTTTTTCCTTCTCATCTTCTATGAGTTTTCACTAGGAACACATGGTTTTTATGTTTTTAAATTTTAACTTAATTTCCTGTTCATTTTTAAATGACCCAAAAATACTAATATCTAATGTAAAATAAGGCACTGAACAGGATTTTCATAGATATGCTTTATTTTAACTTTCAATATTAAGAGCGAAGCTGACAGTAAAAAAAAAAAATAAAGTTAACAAAAAATACTTTGCTACCTATTTCTAACAATTAGTAGTTTGTCCCAAACCAGTAGTTTATTTTTGCTACACTGAGGTAAAGGACCAGGCTGACAATGAAATATTCTTCCGTCTCTTCAATCCACACAAGCTCCGCATGTACTTTTCCTACTTCATCCTTGTAGTTGACATAGTATGTGTGTCCCAGGAAAGTGGGGCCATCGGAAGGGCAGGTGACGGGCCTCATGCAAACGGGAGAACTGAAGCACCAAAAGGGCTTTCTTTTTTCATCCAGGAGAGTCACATCTAGTATGGGGCACCTCTGAAAGCAGACACAGATTCACAAGCGGCAGGGTAAGATGGCCAGTTAAACCCCATTTTCACAGGTCATTCTGACCCAATGTAAACTGAGTAGGAAATGTTGCATGTATCATCAAAACCCAGAATGTTATCACTGGCACACAGGCTAATCATCAGTAGACTGTAATCAGTACCTGCTGTGTCTCTCGTCACTAGCACTCACACTCATCCAAACACCAGGGTGAGCACACGGGAGTTTCAGGGGAGACCAGAAAGTAGTATTGGAGGCCCAGAGGAGAAACACACTCCCTTACCTTTCCAACCTCAAAAGTATACCTTGCCTTAATCATACATGCAACCAGCAGCACACTCTCCAGAAAAGAGCCAAAGCATCTTTCTTAGGGGTATGACCCCCTCCCCATGATGAACCCTTGCTCTGCCTATTCAAGTCTTCCTGCATAAAGCAGCATTACAGAGCTTTACTGAAATATCTGATTTAAATTAAACTTGATGCCAAGCTCTATACAGAATTAGAAGTAACATTAAAATAACATCAAAAATGCCAAGGCATGAAATAAAAAATGGAAAAGGCAGGCATGTAAAGAAAAGCATTAACAGGAGAAACATATCAACAGGATATCCAGCGGTAGTGGAGAGCAAACACTCGAGGGACGTGCTTACTGTCAATGACACTGGAGGCCCTAGCAGGCAAGGCTGCTTGATACCCCAAACCGCGCCAGCATGGGGACCATCTGCACAGAAACTGTCCTGTGTGCACCAACACCCACACTCAGCCACTGTAAGCCATTTGAATGCACTTTATATTGTAACCTGACTTCAAAACACACTGTGTTCTGATAAAATAGGTTTTCTGGTGTTTAGGTTGAGCCATAACCACAGGGACATTCGGACTGTGAAGCTGGACACAGTGACTCCAGCTCAACATGCCTGGCATCGCGAGTGCTGCAGCCTGCATACCCAGAGCTCCAGGACCCTTCTCACGGATCCATGAAGGCCAGATGATCAGAGCTCTGACAGAACCCCACGCTGCTTCGAAGAAACCAACGCAAGGCACTGCCTCCAACATCATCGCTAACACGGCTTTACGCTTTCTTTACCATTTGTTGAGTGAGCCTTGGGACCAGAATCAGAATTGGGGCAACATATTTTTCTTAACTGCCTTTGCTCAAATGGTTACTGTAAGAATTAGAAACTGTCTACAATATCCCAGGGGAACTGTTTATTTCTGATTTTAGTTGTCTATTTTTTCTATCTTATATCCTTTCTTGTTTGTTTTTTTGTTTGTTTTTAAAAAAAAAAAAAGGCCTGTAATCATTGAAAGCAATTTTTAAAATGTATTTTACCAAGCAAAGGACCTGGCTCAATTAGTACAATACCTACCTAACACGTATAAGGCCCTGAGTTCAAAATCCCAGAACTGCCAAAAAGAAAATGTGTTTTTTTCCTTAGGGGAAATTCCTCAGCTACCTGGCAAACATAAGGGATATAAACACAAGATGGAATACTCACCTGGCTTCTTTTTTTGGAACTCCAAGATTGGACTAGTTTTAATACTAGTACCATACGTAAATGGCAAATGCAGATCAACCCGCTCACCTCTTAACCAGGCAGAGCTGGTGCTGAGGGCAGATTTTGGGCTACATTACTCCTTCTTTCTCCCAAACTGCCTGGGACCAGGCCAGACACTCTCCACTTCAAGACCTCAGATCTCTCTTTAAATCCTAAGTCACACCACTTTAATGGCCTGCGGAGGCCCTACCTGGAGCTCCTTGGAGGTCTCAGGTTTGCAGCAATGCTTTCAGACTCTGAGAAAGACTGCTGAGAATTCAGTCCTACATTTGTGACTGTAAGACTATTTAGTATTTAGTGTACCTTACACATGGGGGACTTGGTTTTCTATAACACAGCCAGGACAAAGCTTTGTTTCTTAGTATAATTCCTACGCTTTCCTTTTACCTTCTAGAGGGAACTAAGCCACTGCTTTTATCTTACTCTAAACTACCAGAAAATATAGAATTAAACATAAAAGGATAACCTGACCCTTTGTCATCTTGCCTTTCTTACTCTGTTTTGCGTTCATGTTTTATTTTAGTACATGTTTTCACTGTAAGCCCATCTATCACAGAAAAAAAATGGGTCTGCATTCTTAAAGATATGAAACAATTATCCTTTGTGCATGATAAGCAATTTTTCCAAGTCATACATATTCGCTTATAGGCAAATATCAGAAATAAAACATGTTCTTGTACCAAATACTAAGTGGCTTAGGAGATAATTCTAATTCTCTGTGGCAACACAGCTCAAGAGAAATAGTATATCCACCATTAACAGCTCCAAGGTGTTGGAGCTACCCTACAGATATAGGGCAGAGTGACCTTGGTAAAGAAGGAAAAGCAGTCAAGGAGCTGTCACTGGCTTTTCTGACTAAGAAATCCCATTCATCCCATCAAATACAAATGAGAATACTGAGATGCAGAACAGTAAGGGCACAAGGCCACCCAAGAAGGGAACTATATGAAATCTTTCCCCACCATCTCTTCCCTCTCTCCCTGACAATTCCCTACAGAAACCAACTCTCCTCTTTATGTAGCTGTTTTTTATTTAACTCTAAAGAATATATCTGTAATCAGAATCAATAACTTATAACTACAATAAACTTTATATTGATTGGTACAAAAGGATGTCTCTTTGCAAATGCTACTTGCCTAGTGCAACTTTCAGCTCCCCTTTCTCTACGGGACAGAAGGAATGAGAGAGCGAGGTTATAGTCAGTCCTGTTCAGAAACTGCTGCAGTGTACATACCAGTCCTACCCCACCACAGGAAGAGCAAAGGGTCTCAATAAGCTCTTGGAGAAGTGCTAAAGACTGTAAAAATCATAAAATCCACAGAAATTAGAATAAATATAACGTATTTATTAGAATAAATATATACACATCAACAGACATTTTTCCTATTATACATAAATGAGTTTTTTTTTTAAAGTCCTTCTTACCTCTATAAAGCCATCAAAAGCATTAGTTCTCCAAACAAGTCCAACTTTTCCAATGAGAGGTAGATGTTCTCTATTGTTCTTAAAATTTATCACAATGACCTTCACATATCCATCTTCAATGTACCCTGAAAGGAACTAATGTTATTTTAATTACCACATTCCAGTCAGGATATTAAATCCACAGTCTTCAGACTAGCCATTCCACAAGAGATGTTCTGTGTCACAGCTAATCCTAGATACCAGCATGAGGCCAGAACACTGTAACCTTTGACTCAAAGATAGGGGAAAAAACACATTATGAGGAAGTGTCATCCAGGGTAACATCAGGGGAGGATGGTGGGGGTGAACCTGGATACACACCTGTAATTATCAGAAAGGAAAACGTTCACCTCAGTCATGTTGTTGGAGTTCCATTTCTGCACTAAATACCTAAGATAATCAAGTTCTAGAGATGAAAAGGTTATCTTGGCTCACAAATTTTAATGTTCCAGACCATGGTGGCTAGACCTCCTAGCTTCAGACTGTGGCAAGGTAGAATATCATAGCAGGGAGCAAACAGAACATGATGCTTTCCTCAGGGCCTAAAGACCTTCTACTAGGCTACACTCTTAAATGCCCTACCACCTTCCAACAGGGCCAAGCTAAGGACAAAGACTTTAACCTATGGACTTTCGAGGTCCCTCCAGATCTAAACCATATTACTTAGTCAAGCCAATTCATAGAAATGGAAAAGCAGAAATACAGAGCTTAATAAGAAAGCAGATGTAGAATGGCTAAGGAAAAAAGGAAGCTAAAAAGGACAAAGCAATCAATGGTACCAAGAAAGGAGGGCCTGAAGAATGGACGGGCAAGAAAAGCTAAGGGAAGGAGCCTAGCACACAAAACAAACATCTTCACCCATGCAAACACTTACGAACCCTAAGGACAAATGCTGTTCCTCTCCTAATGTCCCAATGCTGGGCACTAGCAGCCCTCCCATCGCTGCAGAGGCACCATTACCACCACATGGTACACAGTCACTTCAAGGTCTCTTGTGATAGAGAAGCGACAGCACTCCCCAACTCATGCAGAGATGCACTCCACAGATCAAGTTAGCACACCATGAGGCGTGAATGTCCAGGATCAGGATTGTAATACTGTAGCATCTCCACATAGTCACCAAAGTTTCTTCAGAGACTGACCCCAGAATAAAGGTTAAGTGAGAGTCAGGTAGCAAAGCATACCAAAACAAAATCAGAAAAGAGCAAATGTTCTTTGTCCCTAGGTTTAGTTATTTCACAGGACAAAATAAAACCAAAGCTAATTTGTTGCAAAAAATTATATACAGTGTTCCCCAACTCAGTGCAGTGAAGTCTGATTGTAACAGGGCCTTCTGTGCTGCTGTGCTTTTAGTGAAAGGCACTATCAGAAGCAGAGTGCCACGCCCGGCCGGGGGGTGCTCCTAGCCTCCAAGCCCAGGTGGCCATGCTACCTGCTTCTGTCTTACTTTTGGCTCAAGGCAGCCTATGTTTTCTTCTGCCCTGCTAAGTAATTAGCAAGAGTTGTGCAGCTTCACTCCTACTCTCCCTAGATGTAGAGAGGAAGCCAGAAGACACTGTCCCTTCCCAGGCTCTATGTCACCTCCTAGACCCAAAGAAGGGCCCTAGGCCTCAGGGGAGCCATACCAATAGCATTTTGATTAGACCAGATGATTGGACCAGATGTGACTCTGTGTACTACTGAATGCGCATGTGCAAAGGCAGGAGAGACCACTGACTGGCACAGAAATTCAGGCTTGTGTGCTGTCAGCCATCAAAACCAGACATGAAACCAGAAGGCTATTTTCCATGTGGCTCATCCTCAGGACATTCAGAAAATGAACCCAAATACAAGGGCCAAAAACACTATAATGGCAACTGTCTAAGCTAGTAAATACGAGATCCTTGTAGTAAGAAAAGCCTTCCATTTTATTATTAGCAAATATTCTGCCACTTCAGAACAATTACAGTGCTTTCGACCACACGCCCTAGGTGTTCACCATCGTGAGTGGTGAATGAGAATGGTCTTCCTCTGAAAAATTGCAGTAGCAAAGAAACACTATTCCCTTGAGCAGATACAGGTAGAACTCAGGAGTATACCACTGAAGTTATAATGGTAATACTTCCAGAAAAGAAGCCTCACTGTGAAGTAGACATACGTAAATGAAAAGACTGATCCAGTATATTTTTACTACATGCCTGTGCTCTTAAACTCTTCAGAGTAAATTCTGCTGTTGAAGATACTAACCTTAGATGCTAAGCTTAACTTGTCAGCACAGAAGACCATTCCCAATTTGTAGTCAAGTATCACTTGAGGCTCACCATCATGGCTTCTATGACAATAGATTCGTAAGCATGAGCTTTAGAATAAAACAATCAAAAACCCTGCCCAGATATTTGTTACTCCAAACTGAGTAAAACAGGAATATACTTTATAAGGCTTTGTGAGGACTATTGGAACCAACAACAAATATTACCCTTACAGGGTAACTCCTGATACCTGTCAGGCTAAATGTACTGAAGCACTTTAGTGCACTATTTCAATAAGAATAACACTCTATGTAAAGAGCAAGGTCCACTGTCAGGCAGAAGAGAGAAATATGTCCATAAACTGGAATTCTCAATGACTGTTAAGATGTCTCTTAACCTGAATTCACTTATAGACTTAATGTCATAACTACCATAATCCCAGCAAGCATTTTAATAAATAATTTAATAATTTAAATTTATAAATAACTAATAAAAATTCACAAGATGACTCTAAAGGTCACATGGGACCCCTGATTTTTTTTTTGTCAGTCATGGGGCTTGAACTCTGGGCCTGGCTGAAGGTCACATTGAAATGCTAAGGATCTAATATAACCACAGCAATCTTGAAAAAGGAAAAGCTGACTTTAAAACATTACAGCAAAAACAGTATGGTATTGCTTCTAAGCATATGTAATACATCAACAGAATAGATGAGTTCAGAAATAGACCTATACTTTTTCAAGCAAGTGATATTTGAGAGAGATAACAAAATAGTCCAATCATCAAAGAAAGTCTTTTTTTACAAATAGTGCACAAAGAGCAGTACAGCATAAAGAAAAACACCTCAATACTTACCTCATACTGTACATAAACTAATTAATTATAAATCAAAGAAAGGTAAAAGAAAAAACTCTAAAACTGCTAGTAGAAACAATAGAGAATATTTTACAACCCGGGAAGGAAAAGACTATTGATAGGAGAAAGTAATAACCAAGAAGTTAAAAACTGATAAATCAGATTTCATCAAATTAAAACCTGTGATCAACAAGATACCATTAAAAAGACCAATATAGCTGGGCGCTGGTGGCTCATGCCTGTAATCCTAGCAACTCAGGAGGCTGAGATCTGAGGATCGCAGTTCAAAGCCAGCCCGGGCAGGAGAGACTGTGAGACTCCTATCTCCAATAAACCACCAGAAAATCGGAAGTGGCGCTATAGCTCAAGTGGTAGAGCGCTCGCCTTGAGCTGAAGAGCTGAGGGACAGCGCCCAGGCCCAGAATTCAAGCCCCACGACCGACAAAAAAAAAAAAGACCAATATATTTACTATATATGTATTTGACAAAGAACTAAGATCCAGAATACATAAAAAACTATAACAATTTAAGAATAAAAGGTAACTTACCCATATATACATACATATTTACATCTATGTATATAGATGCATATGTGCAATGTGTTTACATATTATATATGCAAACTCATATAAGCAAAAGAATATATGAGTTATACATATAAGATATATAATTCACATATATAAAGGATACATATGCATTTATATATATATATATTGTTTAATGATGTCCAAGTGTAATTATCTTTTACTATCCATTGGATTAACTTGTAGATTTATAGACAGTCTAACTATTACAAGTGAAGTAAATCATGCAGCCTATGTTTCCTTGGATCTGGATTACTTTGCCTAATATAATTTTTTTCAAGTCTTTCCATTTCCTTATGAATGAGGGCAATGTCATTCTTTCTGATGGTAGCATAGAATTCCATTGTGTATATATACCACACTTCTTTATCGGTTTATCCACTGAGAATCATCTGGGTTGATTCCATATTTTAGCTATGGTAAATAATGCTGCAATGAAAGCTCCAGTCTTATTGAAGGAAGTGTACCAAACAGAATCATAATAAGAGATTTAAAAAAAGAAACAGATATGCTCAATTTCATGACAAGCAAGAATGAGCCTGTATCATGTACTTGAACCAAGAATACTTAATAACATGACCTCTTCTGGCTAAGCTAGTGTGAGTTATCCAGTATTTTTATAGAAGTCAACTTAAAAATTGTCTGATACAGAAGTTGGGGTATTTTGTAAAATAATTTTTATGAACGTACTGATGGGAAAAGAGTTGAGATGATGAAAAAGATAGGGACAAATGACTAAACAAACGTCCCTAGCAAAGAGAAGTAGATATGTTTAGAAAAATTAGAAAGTTCATTTTGGAAAGAAGTGAGACTTTTTTCTTCTGTTTCAGAGAAATAGATAAGCAAAAAAAAAAAGCATATAAATAACTTGTGATTCAGTAAAGATGTAACAGGAACAGAAGATCGGGAAGCAAAACAAGTAATGATTTTCCTTAACACAACCCAAGAATAAAGGAGGAATCAGGAGTTATTTTTTGCTTTTATAAGGGACATGCACTATACATGAGGTGATATAAATCATTTGAAAGTGGATTTTGGCTGATGCTAAGTATATATGGCATATTCCAGGACAACAATTAAAAAAGAAAGGACAACATCTGATATTCTAAGCAAAGAGGGAGAGCACATGGAACCGTATAAAATGCTCGATTAAAGTCACACAGAAAAAGAAACGAAAACAAAAAATGAGAGTAACAGAAAGAAAATGCTAACAAATACGGTGATATTAATCCAACTATATCACTAATCTCTTTAGGAGTGGTATCCAGGGAGGAGGGCAAACAAATTTAGAGGGGAAAAGGAGATAATGTTGTTACAAAAGTCAGTGCATGTCCTACACCAAAATTAAGAAAATTGAGGGAAGCTATAGGATTGGGAGGAATGGAGGTGACACTGATCAAGATGAATTGTATTTATAAA